GCACCCTGACTTTCCAGCCTGTGATGAGGGCCACATTGGTGGCATCTCAACATAGCAGAGATGCAGAAAGAACGGAGTGTGTGAAGTGGCTTTGCTTTTGAACAGTGCCTTCCTCAGTTGCTAACTGGAGATGTGTACAAATTGCTAACTGGGTCATCCCTGCTGAGGGCAGGGCCTCCAGTGATTTAACCAGCTTCTGCTAGGCCCTGCCTCTTAAAAGTTTTCCTTAACATTTCTCTAATTGGCCCGGAGACCAATATTAGCACACAAACCATTTGGGGACACACATAACCCATACACAAGCCATAGCAGATCTTGGTGGCTAGATCATAACCAACAGGCTTGCTTAGCAAGTTGATGTGATTACATTCAGCTTGGCAACACCATCAATAAAAAAGGCATTGTGTTTGTCAGAACTGAATAAAGCAATCTGAACCCTATAGTTGGAGAAAGACTGCTTTGGAGGCATCTATCTGGGTTTTTCCCTGGCTCCATCCTTGCCTATTGGCCATCACAAAAAGACACAAGTCTCATCCCAAGGTATAATTTCCTTTATGGACATTCATTGTTGGAAGGAATGAGTCCTCATTAGAGACTAAAAGAGAGAGAATCTATAAATTTAAGACATCTGTTCATATAAAACGAATCCTTAGCCTTCTACTGATATTTCTCACATAACAACACTATTCTAAAAGGAACCAACAAACAATTCTCGGTGTAAATAAGTAGCTAAGAATCAAATTGCACAAAAAAATGGCCACTTGATGTATTAGACCTCTTTCCCCGAATCCCCCTTAAAAGCCTGAAGCAGTGCCCTTTCTCCTTTGGCGACTTGCATCCTGTGACTAAATTGCAAACAATTGCCAAATGGGAAGGGTATAGCTGATGGTTAATGCCTTAAATCTAGATAATGAAAGATGGAAACACTACCTCAAGGATAGATATGGCTCCTACTTCCCAACCACACACAGACACTACAGACCACAAGCAAATCCAAGCACCTTCCAGAAGGCAGGTGCTGCCTCTTGTTCTGTTCCCTTCCAGGGAGGTGCTGCAGGTATCTCTTCTCTACCTCCGGGTCATCAGTGCCTGTGGAGATGGCAAGATCCGAATTTATAATTTCCTCAATGGGAACTGTCTGAAGGTGATAAAAGTCGATGCCAGAGGTGATCCTGTGCTATCCTTCTTTTATCAGGGCAACAGGTGGGTGGTAGGTAGATGTGTGAGGCAGACCATGAGCACTTCTTTGTGATTTTCTCCTTCCTCCTTTGGGACTCTGGATTTATTGGCAGAGCAGAATAGGCCACGTTTCCCTCTAGTTTGGCTGAGGGAAGTATCTTCTATGGGATTAACTGACCTCTGCCCCAGACTTAGTGATCGGAACACAATTAGAGCTGTGACAGCATGCCCAGCTTGGATGATTTCCATTGGGTTTGAGTAAATGGAAACCTGACGAAGACTTCTTAACGGATTCCGATTCCTCAAACTCCATTTCAGCATTTCCAGTCCAAACAAGACATTTCCCTAGAGTTTACACTGCCAAGTTAAAGTCGTGAAACTACAGTATTTAGGGAGAAAACACACACACACACACACACACACACACACACACACATACACACACGCACGCATACAAATGCATGCATTTCAGTTTCTTCTTATAGTTTCAGGAAATATAGACACACAGAGAGGAAAGCAGCTTGCTTTGCGCAAATGAAAAAAAAAAGTGAAAGATATGAGTGAGAGACGGGAAGTGTGCTGAGGGAGTGGAAAATATGAGTTCCAAACCTTTGTCCACTGGGGAGTGACAGTGAGAATTAGAGGCAGCAGAAATCACCATGTTTTATAAAATGTCCCCACTATGTCCAGAAATCCTGGAGGATGCTGTGAAGCTGTGTGGAGTTTGTGTGGGAGCTCAGCAGAGGAGAGAAGACTTACCCATTGCTAGTTTTTATTCCAAGGGTAAAAATAGAAACACTCAATCTAGACACTGAGCTTCAGAAGAACAGTGAATTTCCAGTGTGGAGTACCTAAGCTTTTATCTTGGGCATCCTAGGTACTTGGCACCCCAGAATTGGAAGTTCACTGAAAAGGTATTCCAACTTGAGCAGTGAAGCAATCAGAACACATGTGTCCCTTTCATGATGAACTTCCAAAGAACACAGTTACAAAACTACCTATCCCTGTCCAACGCTCTACTTCTTTCTCCCGGCCACACCCTAAACCAGCCCATTCCTACGGTCACTGCCTCGCCCCAGCTCCCAAGCCTAGGGATCAGATAAGATACAACTGCAATGTATGTTTTGGTGGCCTCCACACTCCTTTTTGTGGGCACTCTCATTTTGGTTCCAGGATGGTGGTCCAGACGGACAGCAATATTCTCCTGTTCCAGTTTGAAAACGTAAAGTGGCAGTACTCCTCGGACAGAGGCAAAACAAAGAAGATGAAGGATAAGGAGGAGGAAAAGGAAGAAATCAGCCTTGCGGACGTGCATTCCAAGTCTAGCACTCAGGTTCACAGCCTGAGAGACTCTGTGTCTAGTAAACAGACTATGACCCAGGAATTCATATTAAATAAAACTCAGAAGACCCGAGTTCATCTGAAGCCACACAAGAAGCTATCTTCAGGTAAAACAGCAAGATCATGTGATTTCAGTGAGTGGGGATGGGCAGTGTGTGTGTGTGTGTGTGTGTGTGTGTGTGTGTGTGTGTGTGTGTGTGTGTCCTTTCACAGTGATGGCAGAGACAGATGAGGTGGACTGCGGGGAGGAGGGGACTATTATGGACATTTAATTAAACTATTACTTCTGTCCTGAGGAGAGATGCACAGAGTTACTATACAAAGGAAATTGTTATATACAGAATGTGTTGTCATTAGACTTCTGAGAGAGAATCCATATACCTGAAGATGTTGGTCATAAGGCAGGTGTGTGTGGATGTGTAGGTGGGGGTATGTACCTAGTTCCATGCTATGTATGGCATGAAAAGAACAAGTCATATGTGAGTTAGAGTCGCAAGACTCTTTCATGCTACCTGTCCTCTGCAGCATGAAGTTGGACTCAGGATCTACAGAGAACACTAGTAGGTCACCTTCAAGCACAACACACTGCAAGTGACCAGTTAATTCTGGAGAAACTGAGTGTCAGATGCTGAAAGTTTGATATCTGTAGGAAGGGGAACCATGATAGAACCCAGATCTTGGAGCCAGGCTTAGTGTCAGCAACATGGATCTTACAGTGGTAGCTTAAGTAAAAACCAGTTGAATTATTGTTGCATCCCCACTACTCAGGTCTAATCAAATTACATAATGACTGTGGTTTCTTCTTCCATCTTAACCTAATCATGTTAAAAGAAGCCTCTGAACAAGGAAAACCAAGCACACCCCAGAAGGATGTCAGGAGGAAAGCTGGTGGTGGCTTGGAAGATGGGCTAGAGAATCTGGAAGCAAAACATGAAGCAGAAGAGAAGATGAACGGTGATATTTTACTTGGAATAAGAGCTAAGCCCTAGCTGCTGCTGCTGCTGCTGTTTCTTTCTTTCTTTCTTTCTTCTTCTTCTTCTTCTTCTTCTTCTTCTTCTTCTTCTTCTTCTTCTTCTTCTTCTTCTTCTTCTTCTTCTTCTTTCTTCCTCCTCCTCCTCCTCCTCCTCTTCCTCCTCCTCCTCCTTCTTCTTTCTTCTTCTTCTCCATCTTCTTCTTCATCTTCATCTTCTTCTTCATTGAGACAAGGTCTCATGTAGCCCAGGCCGGCCTCAAATTGGATCTGTAGCCAAGAACGGCCTTGAACTTTTAATCCTACTATAAGACTAACTAAGCCTTTCTAAGCCCCTTACCCATTTCTTATTTCTGCTTCCCAGCTGGCTCCCTCTTGCATTGCATTATTCAGAGTAATGGGCACATCAGAAGAAGGAAGAAGGGGTCAGGCTGGTTGGAGGGGGTTTCTTGAGAGAGGAGAGAGATCTGAGTGTGAGTGGAGTGTGTGTGTGTGTGTGTGTGTGTGTGTGTGTGTGTGCGCGTGTGTGTATGCCCACATGTGCATGTGTGTGTGCGCGTGTGTGTATGCCCACATGTGCATGTGTGTGTGCGCGTGTGTGTATGCCCACATGTGCATGTGTGTGTGCGCGTGTGTGTATGCCCACATGTGCATGTGTGTGTGCGCGTGTGTGTATGCCCACATGTGCATGTGTGTGTGCGCGTGTGTGTATGCCCACATGTGCATGTGTGTGTGTGTGTATGTGTAAGTGCGCGTGCGTGTGTGAGTATGTGTGTGTGTGGTGTGTGTGCATGTGTGTGTGCGCGTGTGTGTATGCACACATGTGCATGTGTGTGTTGCATGTGCGTGTTGCATGTGCGTGTGTGGGCGGGTGTGTGGTGGGTTAGGTGAGTGTGTGAGTGTGTGTGCGTGCATGTGTGGGTGTGTGGGGTGTGTGTGTACGTGTGTGTGAATTTGTGTTTGCACGCGTGTATGTGTATATGTGTGTGGGGGTGTGTGGGGGTGTGGGGGTGTGTATGTGTGTGTTATATGTGAGATAAGCAGATGAGGGAGAGAGTGACAGGAATGAGATTTTAAGAAGTACTGTTAGATACCATGGCTAGAATGCCTCTTTGACGTTTTTGAAAGGCATTGGCAAACACTTCTAATGTTTTTTGACTAGTAATAATTTTCCTTTTGAAACAAATTCCCCATGCAGACTGGTTTCAAAGTGAGCCAAACAAGTAAGATTTAATGGTCTACCTTAACCATGGGTACCCTCCATTTGTGCACACATACATATGTACCCATAGAGTGAAGTTCTAGGAATAAAACTGTTGTGCCACCGGGTGTTGGTGGCGCACGCCTTTAATCCCAGCACTCTGGAGGCAGAGGCAGGCGGATCTCTGTGAGTTCGAGGCCAGTCTGGTCTCCAGAGCGAGTGCCAGGATAGGCTCCAAAGCTACACAGAGAAACCCTGTCTTAAAAAAACAAACCAAACCAAACAAACAAAAAAAACCCTGCTGTGCCATAGAACAAAGACACTCAAAAACTAGAGAGTTATTGTCATGGTTGAACTTAAAAAAAAAAAAAACCACAGAATGAATTTATACTCCATTAACACTGTGAGTGCCCTCACCATATGCAAGCTAGCTCTGGGAACATCCTATCTCATCATAACTGCTTGTGTGATTAATAAAAATGGTATTTACATTTCCTTAAGGTTGCTCATTAACAGATAGAATGTCCATCAGAGTGGGCCATGGTAAACAGTAACCCTAACCCATCACTATCGATATGATCTAACAACCAAGATTCATACCATGAAGATCTGTATGTGTATTAATTTGCAGATCTAAAACAAAAAACAAAACAAAACAAAACAGAAAAATCCACAATAATGAAAAAGAAAAAAAAATCCATGTTTTCTGGATTTGGAAGGAGAAGGAATGATTTTGACAACCTAACTATCCCAGTTAATTATTTTTTTATAAAACATTGTTTAATTGGCAAAGCAAAGATCAGGAACACTTGGAGTTTCACCCTACCCCCATCTGTCACTTTGGGACACCACCCAGTGGCCAAGGGAAATTATATGCACGATACCTGGTTGCTGTTCCTTTGTTGGCAGCACTCTGGGTTCAGATTAGGCAACTGAGTTCTCCTTTTCTTTTCTCTGTTATGTTTTTTAAAACAAGGGCCTTGTTTTTCTGGAGGGAGGAAAAAGGCAAAATGGGAATGCTGTAAGAGATGCATTTATCCAAGAAGACATCTTTGCATCTTTGCTAACTTAACGGTCTCAGATACTTTAAGGATTCAGGCGCTATGCTAGCGCCTGCCCCTGTCACCTGGCAGAGTGCACTCAGACAATACTCTGGTCAGTGCGCAGGTGCAAAGGCCCCCTTTAAAAGAAAGACCCCCACCCACTCATGTTCTTTCCCACTCTCTTTCCTGCTGTTCCCCTGGGGCAGACAGGACTTTTCCTGTCTCCCTCTTCTCTTCTGTCCTCTCACTGTCTCTGTGTCTCTTTACCTCTTTTCTCTTTCCTTGCTTTATCATATAACAGATACCTCGACTATAAAGTGGTTTGTAGAAACGACTCTGTTTTTCTGCTGAATATTTTGGATTCATAACTATTGGTCAAAATATTCTGGGGACTCCTCTTTAGGAATCTAGCTTTAGCCATGCTAGGATAGATTGCATTAAGCAGGAGTGACATTCTTAGAATCCAGGCTCAATTCTGGGAAACATAAACCAAAGCTGGCTAATAAAATGAGACTTGATCTTTGTTGTATGATTATTGATGACAATGTAGGTATACTATAAATCTGCAAGACCTGTTTCAAGTGAGTCATGAATGAGATGTGAGTCATTCTCACAGGAATTTTTGAGCATGTGTAGAACATTAGAATTACACAGGCTGCCTTGGAAATATGACACCTTACATGAATATTTGTACAGTCATTAAAAACAAGCCCTTTCTGCTGTCATCATTTCTGATGTCATCTGGGATGTTTGATGGCATGCCTTTTGGGCAACAAAACCTCAGCGTACCTAGCAGTTAAAATGGCTCTGGCTTTTACGTATAGATGGTCCCTATTTTCCATGGGTTGCTGATATGCCTTTGTTTTCTTTTTGAAGAATCAGATGATGTAGAAAGTCATGGAGAGGAAATCAGTCAGCCAATGAAAAAGTTCTGGAAAGTTCCTATGACACCTGACCGATTCCTGCTGACTGTCAACGCTTTGCAAAAAGCCCACAATTCTGAAGAATTTGCCTATCCCGGCAGGCCCAAAACTCCAGTCATTGATGCCTGGGGACCTTCAATTCCATATCCAAGGAAAGTCCTAAATTTCAAAGGAAAATCAATTCAATATGCTGTTGACCAGCTTCGATCCAGCAATATTCTTACTGATATGAAACAAACCAATATCCCCCTTGAAATTCAAAAATTGCAACCCAACTTGAAAAAATCCCTGCATAGTCCCAGAGTCCAGTCCACCATACCCCAGCCCAGACTTATCCGTTCCAGAGCCTCTGATATCTTAAAGGGCGATGATTTCTTCACCAGTTCAATTGATGGGGAGATTCGCCCCCGGGTTGCCCCCCTGACCAGCATGCAGGTCATTAAACCAAACCGAATGCTTGCTCCCCGAGGTGGCACAGCTACCCTGTCTCTCAAGAAAGAACGGCCACGTTTCTACACAACCCTGGATCCTCTCAGAATGAACACGGGGTTCATGCTGTTGACTGTGAAGGAGGAGAAAGAATATGGAGAAGCCAAGATGAAGGAATATCAAACCAGTGAATCCACTAAAGTAGTTGACCCAGGTAAAGCCAGCAAAGCTGCGTGGATTCGTAAGATCAAAGGCCTGCCTATTGATAATTTCATGAAGCAAGGGAAAACAGCGGCCCCCGAACTTGGACAAAATGTGTTTATCTAAACCATGTTTGGGAACTTAACAGCACCATTACAATAAACAGAAAACCAAGTGAGCGTTGGTGTCTGGGCCTTTCTTTTCTTTTCGACATTTCTTTGGCAATTCACGTGAACCTTCCTAGGATTCAAAGAACAGATAGTATTACACTAAGACAAGAGGAAACAGGGAGAGAGTGCCATTTGCCTTCCACTTAGTGAGATGTAGGCAAGTTCACTGATGGGTGTCATCACTGTCACTTTAGGGTTACCACTGCCTCCACAAACTTTTAAGTGAATATCAGGATGTATAGAAATTTCCTGGTATTTTGGCATAGAATAAAGGTCAGTTCTGGTAAGGAGGGTGGGGAGCTCAAAAGGTTGAGTTGTATTTAGAACACTGTATGTGATTTCACTGGTTGGAACATATCACATCTGATGAAAATGAAGCACATTCATATTTTATACGAAAGAGCCTCTAATACTGAGGTTCCTATTTAAATACTTAGGGGGTGGTGTCAGGGACAAGTTAGGTCATTTTGAAGAGTAGCTCACCAGCAGGGATATGGCCCACTGAAGGCCTCAGGAACTGTATAAACAGTATAGTCCCTACACAGAGTCAGTCAGACCATCCCCTTCATTAAGTCTCAGCTCTTGGAAGGTTAAGGTAGGATGTCTGAGCATCTCACTCAGTTGGCACTACAAGGCAACACCCTGTTTCAAAAGCAAGCAAACACCACCCTCCCACATCCTCCAAAAAGAAAAAAAAATCCCCCAAACAGGTCAGAAATTCACTTTCCTGTTAAATTTTCAAAAATATGGTAACAAATTCAAATGGCATTCATATAAAAAACTGAAAACAACCAAAAGATAACTACATACACCCCCCAATACAGGGTTGGCCACTGAAAATATTCTTCAAGCAGGTTAGGGCATAGGTCATCTGCCCACCTTCACACATAGGTGTGTGACCTTGCCAAACTTTCTCTCCTTTGGCAATTGTGTTGATGTTTCTTCACTATTCTGACAGCAGGTTTGAAATAGTGCTGGCAAAGTGCCAGATAAAAATCTGGATTTCAGTGAATAGAGTCCCTTCAGTTAAGAAAAGGTGGGGGGTGGACAGTGCACGAGTCTTCCAACAATCTGACAGAAGTCGAGCAAACAGAGTATTGCTGTCATCACAGTTTCAAAGATTGCTTTACATTCTCTGAATTTTAGATCTAGGCAGGATCACACAATCAGCAGTTGACTTAAAAAAGAAAAACAACGCCTGACATTGTACTGCCAACTGCCCTGTAAAGCCATCACTATCCTCCTCGTTTTACAACTGAGGAAAGGCATACACAGAGATTGGTTATATGATCGACATATGGGGGGTAGACGCGGAAATCCAAGTGCCTGAATGTTAGGGACCAGCCTCTGCCTTTACTGCAGAACACCCACCGCTTATGTTAGTCCTCTTGCCTTTTTCCTAATCATTTTTTTTTCACTCCTTCCCTAAGACACATTTATTTCTTGTGGCAATGACTCACAGCTTGTACTTCACAGGTAGAAAAAAACCATTTTTCCTTCATTAACTCATGAAGCTTCCCTTAGAACCTACTATGCTGACCAATTCATTCCCAGGTGTTTTGCTTCTGCTTTGAGGTGCAGCTCCTGCCCCGCCCACGCTCGCCCCGGTAACGCTCGCCTCGCCC